CGACAAAGATTAATTACAATTTCACCTAATAGAAGCTGGGTTCCCTTAATAAATTCAGATTGTTGTAAATTTCTTTTTTGCAAGCAGCTGGCAGTGAGGTCACTTTACGACTCCACTCCATTCGACAATAACATGAATCCTTCCGACTGGCAATACTTGTTGTATACAGAATTAGTGAAAGCTCCACTGTTCTGGTATTTAATTGGATGACATTTATTTTACTCTTCAGCTACTCCACATTCACACATTCTTCGTGGACTACTATAAGGTCTTCTTTTATCCCATTTCAAGAATGCTATAACGCTAGATCAACTATGCCTTCATATAAATCCAAGCCACAATTATCCAACTTAACTTGCTTAATTCTATAAGATATATTTAATTGTTTCTTGGTTAGCAATTAGGGAAGAAATTATTGTGGTTTCATAGTGAACTCGCACATACGCAAATATATGAAGGTAACCACTTAGAATTTTAAACAGGCCCATAATTGTCGGTGTGGAAATGATAGATTACATAAATAATTTAATTTGTCGTTTATCAAAAGTGGGCTCTCGTCTAGCGAAGACTTCAAATCCATTCTTCTATAGATCTCAATGGACACTTATTCGATACGTTTATGCCCGCATAATTGTATTTCGCTACAGTAGCATGCTTAGCAATGGAGGTAACTAGTAAGGCAAAGAGGTCTCCTTTACCTTCAAATCAGAAGTGAAAAATCTGCTGTGGACACGAAAAAATTCATTTTCGACTCAGCTATGAGATCATTGCAACACTACATGATAAATAGACATTTTTCAACAGTTCTAGTCCTGATTTTTGTGATAAAATAATTACTTATAACTTCGTTGTTAGTCATGCCTGCCCATAGAAATCTTTCTATAATCCGTTTCTGTGATCGCAAGTACAAAAGCCCAAAAGGCTTTCTGTGCAAGGCTAGTATCGGTTCATATATTTAACTGGTAGGCCTGAAACCAAACTAATTCTTCCAGTTTACATAAATTACAGCATTTTTACTTTTGCCTTATTTAAAATAGAAAGAGCGGGGTTGAAGATACACATGACACAACTGACTGATGTAGAACCAACTACTAAAGAGATTCATTATCTTGATTATCTAAGTATCGACACATGAAACTTTAATTCTATAAAGACAGCGAATCCAACCCCGAAACAGAAAGTGCATTTAAATTTACATTCGTCCTGCCTAAGTAAGTTTTTCAGGCTGAGGAGGGATCATAGTTCTTATCTATACTTGCTTTTATATAACCATTATTTCATTTTTACGCAACGAAATATATCATGAACCAACGCCCCAAGAGTAGCTAGTAGTTTACTCATCACCACAGTACTTGGTCTAACTTAAGGAAAGCCTGCGTGATGCCGATTCGAGAGCACCTAAGTTGTATTTTGACTAGCTTTTGACACTGTTTTAAAGCCCTAGTCATATTCATATTTTCAAATGCATTTATTTTTACTAAAGAGTTGTAGGCGAAGACCTGGCAGATGGCAATTTGGGGAAAATGAATATGCTAACTGTAGATTTTGATAAAATACCAAAGAATGGATGTGGCCAGGCAACAGCTAATGTAACCAAAGCAAGAAGATGGGTAAAACAATGCTGCTGTCAGAGGAGCTAATTTGCATAAATAAACGCAGCAACAATGTGAGGTTTGCAGCTGACTAGGCAAGCCTTTGGGTTCAAAGCTGGTGCAAATACCTCAGCAGATGGAAATTCTTGGCTGTCGTAGAGCCATGGATGGAAAATAAACAGTCTAAAAATACTTCCTTTTTGCCAATTTCTTTATGAATTTTCCGGGCTGAATTGGTGTGTTCCAAAACTTAACGTGCCGCATGCCACGAAACGTCACTTGATGCAAAGAATCCAGTTTCCAGTGCTGTTGAGGGTGCTGAGAAGACCTGGCCGAGGTCACAACAGCGGTCAAGTTTGGATGAAAAGACCTCTCGGGAGTTACGGCTAAGTGAAATTCAACGGAATCGTGAGGTTGATTTGTATAATTATGGCAAAATACGACCTAGGCTAAGTGAAGTTCTTATTATACGAAATTCTCGATTTAGTATGGAAAATTAAAATTCGTTTCGGTAATGCCTTAATGTCGTATGGCCTCATAAGCAAATGTTTCTAGGGCTATCTAGTCTGCTCGTCAACCTTGTTGCTGGATCGGAGGAAAGTTTCGGAATACTTGAATATTATAATAGGTGTATTTCGTTTAAGCTGATGAAGGACTATTAGTTGAATTTTTCCACAAGGATACCAGTAGAGATGAAGCTTCAAATGAATTTCATATAGAAATTGTTTGACCTCGTTTTTGCAACTAGATCATATTGGTAGGAAGACTTAGAGGAACGCACCTAGTCCGGGGTCTATTGTATGCATCATCATTTCCAGAGTAGGACCGTGGACGTGATACATTTCACATAGTCTTGCTTTCCTAAATGGTAGACTGCAGTTTCGACCCCGCCTTAGGCTTATCAACACCCCCAGCAGAAGTCGAACCATGACAATGCAGCGTGTAATCTCGACATGTTGATCACTACGTCACATCGCCACGAGTGCCCTCGCGTCACAGGGCAAATGTAAATTTCAAGGAAGGCTAGACACTTCCCCATAACACATTCTTCGAAGTGATTGTCGATTAAGTAAAGTTATATTTGCTATAGAAATCAACTACATTACTTATTTTTCATTTATAAGTAGGCTTTCAGATTAAATGTAAATTAGTTGGATGAGATATAATAGTCTCGACGGCCTGCTTATAAACGAAAAATAATTGAACATTAGTTTTAGTCGACTTTCCACTTTGAATGCTAAGTTGGTTGGGAGAAATTCGTGAATTAGTCTCACCAAAAACTCTTGGTATATTAAATTGGTGGGCTACTTCGTTAAGTGTCTTTTCTGGCGATGTCCATCTCATAGAGACAGATAAAAGCTTCGCACGTTTTCAACGGAAAAAATGGAGATTTCATCGGAAACAGAGTCAAAGAGAATGTTCCAGTAAAACCTATCAGCAGCTTATCAATACTAATCACACGTCGTCCTTTGGTCAGAACGACCTTTTAATCTCTTCATTAAACATCCTTGAAGAAATGGAAGTAAGCTGAATAATTATGAACAAAGAGGTTCCTCAAAACCTAACTTTTCTTCGCATTTTCTCACTTTTTATTGCTAAAGCAAGAATGCAAGCCTGACATAGTGTAGATATGTTAGGTTTATTTCGTGTAAGGTCGGCTAATTATAAGTTTGGCTCACTACCTCAATATTTACTTTCACTAACAGATGTAATTTTGCTCACTTTTACTTTCATCTAGTTCAAAAATTATTCCACTCGTGGCAATTATGGCATGAATTTTCATTTAAAAAGAATGGTTGGTCGAAAAAATTAGTGAATTGGTCTCATCTGAAAACTAAGCGAAGACTGTTGGATTGTCCTCAGTTCACTGTCCTGCTACCATTACACGCTCCAACGGTCTTCACTGCGTCGCAATCCTCCTTTGGTTTCGGGTGATACCAATTCACGAATTCCTTCCAACCAACTTGTTCTTCGAAGTGAAAATTCATGTCACAATAAATTACTAAGGTATTCTTTACAGCTCATTTTCACTTCATTCATACAAATTCGTGACAATTTCGCTTACTTTCAGGCAAACGTACTCTGAATCCGGGCGACTCGAAAACACGGCCCCACACAAGTTTCTCTCCACTGCCCTCTGAGGAGACGATGGCCTTGGAACAGTTGGTCACAAACAAAATACCCTCCCCAAAGCAGTTAACGAGCCTGACTCGTTCGTTTGCCGCTCTTCGCAAAAGCATTGGAATCGATGCGAAGGTGAGAAGTTGGATATCCATTTTAAATGAATTACACAAAACTGGTGCAAATTAGTGTGCTGGGGTTGACTTTGTTCAAGTAAAAACACTCCCGGTATAAAACCCCCGAGCCGATCTCGGATCCCTTCGTCTCGAAAGCTTGGAAATATTCATCTATTTTTGTATGAGAATGTTTCGAGGATATCAGCTAATATTAAAGATAATCTTGGTGGCTCTAGGGCGCGTATGGAAAATTCAAAACTGATAAACCCAAATGAGTTTGCCTCAGGATGCTGGTGAATTATACTTAATCTAGCCTCCCAAAAGTTTTTACATAAAGGCTTAAATAAATCTTCAAATTTACCCTATTGCCTTATCCATAGAATTAGACTTGAGGAGCAGATAGTTTGGGATGAGAGTTTGTGATTGTATGATTCTCATTGGTAAGAATGGTTATGTTGGCAATGGGCCTTTCATTGAATATGAATTGTTCGACCTATTTAGAAATTAAAGATTGACTTGGGGTTGTTGAGCACATTATGCTCATTGCATATGAGTGATCCTGTAGCAAACATGACAGAGCCTCCACAACAACGCATAAATGATATGTGCTATGATCCGTGCTCTCATGGGGGTATTGTTTCATGCAATGTACCTGACCCATTTGCGATGATACAGTCTTAACCAGCTAAGGGCCATCAGGCCCTTTTGTATTTTGTGCTTCTTCGCTCCCACTCTCCTCACTTCCGTACAGTAATTATAAAAAGAAGATTAAATGGGTTTTAAAGAATATTTCTGAGTCATGAAAACTTGAGTTTCAGCTCTGTTTATTTATGTCAAATGGCATAAAATAAGAACAACAGCAAAATAATTTTAGCCCGCCTTCATCTTTTGCTGAGATCGATATACGAATATATTCAGCAGACACTTTGACACGAAAGGATGCTCATCACAACAAGACTTCAAGTATCCTTTATTATCACAAAGTGAGCCATTCCCAACAGTTTATTTTCAATTGAACCATTGTGCCTCTGAGTTACTGTAAAGCTAACTTGTGTAACGTTTCCTCTAATGATTCATATCAGCTCAGGGTTAAAGGTATGGAATAAATTCTTACAAAATTTCTGCAGAAAGTAAGCATTAAACTCTAGAAACAGAAACTAATGCGGAATGTGTGTGGTACTTTCTAAATGCAGGATCTCTCGTTTCCGAATACTAAACTTATCCATTTCTATACAATTAAACGCTTGGCCAATAAGGACTGGCAAAATAAGCCTACCCATGAAAGTGACTAGGCTTGATATAAGTTGTTTGATCTTGTTTTCGCAACCTGGTCGTATTGGAAGAAAGACCTTGAGGAACACACCTTCTCCCGTTTTCATAGTATGCATAATAATGACCAGAATCGGACCATGGACTTGGTACATTCCCAGACGTTCCGCCGGCATCGTCAGTAAGTGTTGCCACTCTTAGCACCACAATACAACTCGTCAGAGACAATTTAAGTCGATCCTTTGACCAATTGTCTGCTAAACAGTTTGGCTGTATCTTCCTCTGTCCGTAACACCCCTTCACTATAACGATGTATAACATATCTAAACTTAGTAGAAGTGTGCCCTTTTGACCGGATTTAGTGAGACCTATTCACACTCCCCGCTGGTTCCCTCATCCCAACACTGTGCTGGGAGTGCTGATCCAAGATTGTAATTTAGTCAGCAATCCTCTTCCTCCAAGCCTAATCAGTGTACATTGCATGAGTACAATACCTTACCAGAACACGCGTCAACAGTGCAAAATCATATTACGCATCATTTATGCGTTGTTGCTAAGGCTCTGCCACATCGTCTGCAGAATCACTCATATGCAATAGTATGGGAAAAGCATAATGTAGCCAGTCACGCAAAAGGAGGCTTCACAACCCTAAGTCAATCTTTCTTCGATTCCTAAATAGGTAGAGCAATTCATATTCACTAAAATGTTCATTGTCAACATTACTGCTCCTACCAATGAGAATCATCTACTTAATTCCTCGTCCAGGTTCCTAATGCTACCATCATGCAAGCTTTCAAGAAAGATTGCGAATTATTGAGGAAATGGAGTTTCAAGACAATGTATAAGGATATAATAACGCTTTCCGCAGTCATGCCCTAACTTGGAGAATCATCCGACGTCTTCTGTAGATCAGGTATTTATAAGGTTTTGTGCTCATCTGTTAGTGTTTATGTGGGGGAAACTTGTCGACCCATACATATGAGGCTACCAGAATACAGAATCTCTTGCAAAGATTTATGGATTCAGAAATCCGAAGTGGCTAAACATGTGGTCCGGAAACTCTTTTGTTCGAATGTCTTGCACTATATAGCTTAATACAAATACATGATACCAAAAAGCTTATATAAATACTTTGGCTTTCTTAGAGCTGTCAACACTTTAAGTGCAAACGACATCATATAAGAGACATTCTTTCTAAACGATTCTATTGAGGAAAATCTATAAGTTAAATATGGAATAAATTCTTTATAGCTTTACTCTGAGTGGCCATTAGAGTATTAACTAACTAGGTGCTGTTGTACAGTATTTAAATCCATGTGAATGCATGCTTACATGTTCAAGATCAAGGCTTTTATAAATTTACGCATACTCTTGCTAGAAGGTTCTCGCACCCTGGCTAACAAATATGATTTAGCTTTATTTATGAGGTGTATTCACCATATTTCGTTAAGGATGCAAGGTTTCTGGTAATCTCTAAAACCTACTTATAAAAGGAATAATTTATCTATAACTGTCAAAAGATAGCATTTTTTGAAATTCACTATATTTCTTTACAGAATCGCAGAGCAGTTTCCGCGTCGTTTCTGCCAAAAGCTTCAGTTCAATTATCCCAGCTGCCATCCCCGCTTCAAACAGCCTCTCAAGCACAGAAATTAAAAATGCATTCTACGATACTTTCAAAGACAGAGACTCCTAAAGTCGTGTGGACGCCCTCTAACCCAGCAAATACTGAGGCCCAACGACGCAGCTGGATAACAAGCAATGATTCATTCAAAGACCCAATCAATGAGAATACCAACCATTCTTCTTCTCTTGGATGGTCACGAAAGGATTCGACATGCGTACGATGGTCTGTTCGACAGGCTCCAACATCGACAAGAGCAGGATCTCTAGCCGAAACGAATATTCCTTATGACCAGTCTGGTGGAGACAGAAAAATAGAATTTTCTCAGATAGATCATTGCAAGTCCAGCGCTCAGAAACCTCTGGTAAGGAGGTTTAGTTATCTGAATGGAAAAAGGCGATCAAGCCAGATGGACCGCCATAATAAGACTTTTTTTGTATGGCCAACTCCAATTCCAGTAAGAATGAAAGAGCCTGAATTACCTACCCTTTGTCCAAGGGAAGTGAGAAGACGCGCAGGGCTTGCTCGACTTATCCAGTCCGGAGAATGTCTCTCGGGGCGTATCCGCTTCTTTTGTGGACAGCTAGATGGTATGGGGCAGCATTTGCGCGTGGCTAGTGAGGAGGAAGAGATTGGATGGAGGGTAATTGCAAGAATAGGTGTCGCTGCTAGCCAGGGCAAAAAAATGAATTTTTTAAGTAAAGAAGAGGACTTAGAAGCTGAGGTAGAATCTCTAACAGAGGATGAAACTGATAATGAGAAAGGAATCGAAAAAGAGAAAAAAAGCGATGAAAATCAGTGGGATCTGCAAATGTTGGATCAAATGTTCAATGAGATAAAAATGTCGGCTGCTTGCTCGATTGATGGGACAAACAGTTACTTGTCCCAAGACTAGATGATTAGCAGAGCATATAGCCAATTTGTACCAAAATAAACAAAATCACATGGATAAGTTGAGACATCGTCAAACTGAGGTAAAAACAGCGAATTATTTTTTATCGGCAAACTGCTTCTCTCCATTTTGAATTTTGTAACGCCTAACATAACTTAATATATTTTAGAATTCACTCAGTTTTCTGCTCGAAAGTCACCTGGTATTTGTAGGAAATTTATAGTAGACTTAATTATCTTTTTCCCATAGGGGAAACAAACGTGAATGCACATGTGAATAAGATGATTCATCGTATAAAGGTATGTGATAAGAGCATTACTCATGGAATGTATACATCAATGGAGCTGAGCTATATAGTCTCCAAAAGCTTCTAGTGTTCCAGCTAAACCCTTTCGCATTATAAGGGTTAGGATTTACGCAAAAACGACATTTATTTTCATCCAGCTACTAATATGTTTCATCCTGATTCCTGTATTATAAGAGTAACCTAATAAAATTCTCTTTAGTTATATCTAAAGCAACCATTAGACCCAAAAAGATAAGTCGTATCTACATTGTCCGTATGGTTCAACTTCTTGTCAATTTTACCGTAAATTAGTAGGTTTTTTTAGACTACTAATAAATCAGATATAAGAGGTGTGCTCACCCAATTTCGCTTAAGAGGATAAAGGTCTGCTAATTGAATTTTTCCACAATGATATGAGCAGAACTGACATTTCCACTAAATTTCACATAGCCTAACTTACCCAAAAGATGTTCTCATCCATGGTGGACTGCAGATTCGACCTTGCCTAGGTCTTATCAGCACCCAAAGCAGGAGTGGAATCATGACAGTGCAGAGTGTAAGATCGACATGCTAACCACTAAGTCATTGCAACGAGTGCCCTTGAATTATAGGACAGATGTCATCGATTGCTATAGCAAATATAGGTTTGCTTCATCTACAATCCCAACGCAGAATGCGATATGGAAAATTCCTGAAATTCCTTGAAGTTCACATCTGTCCTATGAACCATGGGAACTCGTTGTATTGTGGTCTAGTGGTAACATGTCGAGTTTACATGCTGGACTGTCATGGTTCCACTTCCGCTATAAGTTTTGATAAGACCTATGCGAGGTCGAAACTGCAGTCCACCCTGGATGATAACACCTTTTGGGAAAGCAAAGTTATGTGGAATCCAATGAATACGTCAGCTCTACTCATATCATTATGGTAAAAATCAACTACCAGTCCTTTATTACCCTAAACTAAATCGGGTGATTACATCTTATGTTACTGATTTACTAGTAGTCTCGAAACAATACTTAAATGGAAAAAAATAAAGTAACGTAGTCGATTGTTATAGCAAATATACGTTTGCTTCATCGACAGTCCCACCAAAGAATATGATATGGCAAAAAACCTAACCTTCCTTAAAATTCACATTTGCCCCGTGATCCTAATGCACTCGTGGCAATGTGGCCGAGTGGTTAATGTGTCAAGCTCCGATTCTGCATTGTCGCAGTTCGACTCCCGCTGGGGGTGTTGATAAGACTGATGCGAGGTCAAAACCTTAGTCCACCCTGGATGAGAACAACTTTTGGGAAAGCAAGATTATGTGAAATTCAATGAAAACGTCAGCTCTATTCATATCATTGTGGGAAAATTTTTTATTAGTCCCTCATCACCTTAAACGAAATTGGGTGAATACATCTCATATTAAGAAAACTATAGTCCTGAAAGTTACTAGAATAAATTAATTTTAATCTGTATTGTTCACGACATTGTTCCTACATGTTATTTACTTTGTAGACGCCTTAATCTGCCGGCGTCCACTTATATGGAATTTGATCAGGTATCGTTTGAATTGGTTAAAACAAGGCCTAAGGTAAGTCATAGTAATCATGTTTGTAATAATCTAGATAAGGTAATCAATTTATCTAGTATAATTCTGGAGGATAATGTGTAACTTTTATTGGAAAGAGGATTGAATTTTGCTCTTCCAAATGAAGTAATTAATTCTCTAAACATACTTGTTAAATTAATTAGCTTATCTGATAGATTGCCTGAGGAGGTACTGAATAGTATTGAGCTGGAGGTAATTCCTCCCTTTGACTAAATAATCACGCAAAGGCAATATTGTATGCTAAATAGGGTTTCTGGATATTTAAATCATCATAAGCTAATTATTATGAAAGCCGACGAAGGTGAAGCAGTGGTAGTCATGGTTAGGCTAAGTTATGTAGCAAAAATGCTAGTTAATTTAAAGGAGACTGACAAGTATGGGCCTTCATTGACAGATCCAACAGAACGACTTAAGGCTAGGTTGAAGGATGCACTTAAGGTGTGAATTAGCAATGGTGGAATGGAGAAGTGGAAAATGAATTAACTAATCAAAAGAGATGCAAGGACTTCCACAGCTTACCTTAGATTAATGGTAAATAAGAAAGGAAGCGTGATGCATAAAATGTAACGTTTTTTATGCATATAACTAAGAAAGTCTGCGGATTTTGGCTATATTCAATTAAAGATTCTTATGAGTTTGTGAAATTGATTGATCAGCAGATACTCTCAGAGGAGAATAGACTAGTAAATCTAGATGCTGTGTCTATATACACAAATATTCCTGTTCGAGGAGTCAGTCAGACTAGAGCACAAACTCTGGAAGAGCAATCAGAAATTATAGAAGAAATATGGTCAAGTAAAGCGACATTCTTAATTTATGCATGACTTCAGGTATTTTATCTTTAATGGCATGTTCTATGAACAAGCACAAGGACTTGCGATTAGCTTAAATTTCTTTGAGTAACTATGCGGCCAAATTAGGTTAACACCATTTGAAACAGACAAAACTAGCCCATATATTGAAGATATGAAAACCAAGATGTTTTGGCCTTTTGTGTGGTCGCAGTCTCCTTTCGTTGTATAGAAGTTGTTTGACCTTGTTTTCCCAACTTAGTCATAATGGTAGGAAGACTTGTAGAAACGCACCTTATCCTGAGTCCATTGTATGCATACTCATTTCCAAAGTCGGACCATGGACGTGATACATTCCCAGACGCTTCGCCGGCATCGTCAGTGAGTTTTACCATTCGTAGCAGTATATTACAACTCGTCAAA